TAATATTCAACTAATGCAGAGCATCAATCATGGCAAGTATATTAATTATTTAATATTGCAGTCTAATTCAGAAATCGATGTGCTGCATGAGGGGAAGGGAAACTCATGGTTCCCAGAAGATTTAAGACAGGGAATGATTAAAAAAAAAAAAAAAAAAAAGACCTGCTGTACTCCTGTGTGTTAGTTCGATACAAATCTTTATTCATTTGCCAATAATCTCTTCCCATTTTCCACTTCAGGACCATTTTATCAGTTTTGAGACCTATAATTGAATTAAGTCTGCTTTCAGCACAGGGCAAAAGGAGTTGCACAAATATTGATGAAGTCATGACAGGGACAACCCAAGAGACAGACCACTAAGAGGACAGGTTTGCTACCATTTGTGGAAGATCCTTTTATCAGTGTTTTGGAGCTTGTGTCTCTATTTAAAAAAGAAAATCATTAAGGCTTCTGTAATGATTTCTAAGTCTTTTGTACTAAATGCCACCTGCTGCCAAATAATTTCTCTAGCACCTTAGTTTAGGATGGACTTTCGTATGTATTATATTACATATTCTTCAAAAACAGCATATGCATTAGGCAAGTCTTAGTTATATTTATGTTGTGGCGTTAATTTTCCTCAAGCGCCCATTTGTAGCTTCTATGGAGTTGGGTAATCACTAAGCTTGTGTGGGTATTTTGTAATAGAAATTAAATTCAGATTTAGATATTTTGCTTCTAGAACCAGGATAATATTTATTGTCTTATTAATAAATAAAACACCCCCCTCAAAGCCACTCACGTTGCTTTTTCTCTGTTGTTTTGAGGGGTGCTTAATATGTAAATCTGGAGGAGACTGGGAATGTAAATATATTTGCTGTTAAAGTTTTTGTTGAGGCGTCTGATTATTTTTAAATACATTTTGGGAAACGCTTCTGGGTTATTTTGTCTTTTTGATTTGTGTTCATCATGTTAATTATTTCAGAAATTTGTTATTCCTTTGTTTTGTTTTGTTTTTGTTTTTCAAGGCAGGGTTTCTCTGTAGCTTTGGACCCTTTCTTGGAACTAGCTCTTATAGCCCAGTCTGGCCTTGAACTCACAGAGATCCCCCCCCCCCCCCACCTCTGCCTCTGAGTGCTGGGATTAAAGGCAAGGCGTGTGCCACCCCGCCCTGCTTTCTTATTCCTATTACAGAAGAATCTTCTTCCCTAGCATTTTAGTGTGGGTTAATCTGAGAGCTGGAGTGGTAAGACTGTACTGTTCTTCAACAACACTATTCTTAAAAAAGCAAAACAACCACTCACTCCACACATGCTCACACGTGCACACATACCCTTTCCCACCCCTGTCTCTTCATGCTGCTTTCTAGCCAGGATAACCCCTCACAGTGAAAACCCCTTGCTCTTTGTGGCTTGGTGATAGATGGGGTTTGTGCTGGCAGGTTCTACGTCAGCTTCACACAGCTTGAGTCCCTTGAGAAGATGGAACCCTAATTGAGAAAATGCCCCCACCTGATTGGCTTGTGGACATTCCTGTGGTGAATTTTCTTAATCAGTGATTGAAACATAGCTTGGGACTTCTAAAAGTTTGTTTTTCATCCTGTTGTTAGTAAAATGAGAATTGGGGGAGACTGAAAGAAAGGAGCAGTCTCTCTCTCTCTCTCTCTCTCTCTCTCTCTCTCTCTCTCTCTGTGTGTGTGTGTGTGTGTGTGTGTGTGTCTAATAATTGTGTGTTGAACTTGGCTATTGCTGTCTCTTTCCATGTTGTGTAGCTTTGGTAAGATACACATATTAAGAAAACTTCTACCTTAGAAAGATTGCAGTTTATTATGGAAGCTGCATTGACACCGAACAAGGCAGGAGCCATTGAGATTCCATGGGAAACTGGTGCAGTGATTGGGTGAGAAAAGAGGAGAGTCTCAAGCAAGAAACAGAAAAACCTATGTCGGTGAACTGGGCGGTGGTGGTGCACGCCTTTACTCCCAGAACTCAGGAGACAGAGACAGGTGGATCTCCATGAGTTGGAGGCCAACCTGGTCTACCAAGATAGTTCCAGGAAAGGCTCCAAAGCAACAGAGAAATCCCGTCTCGGGAAGAAAAAAAAGTACTTAGGTGGTAATAATTAAGGCTATTGAATAACAAAAGACTCTGGTAGATTATGTTTGCTTGTGTTTGGTAGTGATCAAAGAGATGTGCCAATGACACTATCTAGTTTTCTGTCAGATGTGCCACTCAAAACACATATTAAAATGTATTATTTTGCAGCCAGACATGGTATCACTTGTCTTTAATCCCAGTACTCAGGTGGAAGAGACAGGCGGGTCTCTGTGAGTTTGAGGCCAGCATGATTTACAGAGTAAGTCCCAGAAAACGTTGCTATCTCTGTTTTACTACACTATAATTGCAGAGCATCTTGACTTTAATCCTTTAGACTACACTGCTTGAAAATCCACTCATGGCTTCTAACCTCCATTCTTAATGCCCAATGCAACATGCTAAGAGGAGATGAGCTTCTCTGCTGCCTGGACCTGTCGCTAGCTGTTCTCTTCTGCTGCTTCGCAAAACTATACATTCCATGTAGACATGTAAGGGCCAGTGAAACTCTTCATCTAATCTCTGATGTCAGCATAATCCTAAGAGGCAAGAAATAATTACTGCAAGGTATGAGCAGAGACTATAATTATTTCAAATTGTATTATAAATCCAAATGTGTGTAGTTGAACTGGAATGCAAAGAAATCTTTCTTTTCACAAAGGCATTCTCTAGTTATTTGTGTAACTCAGAATTTAAACTGCCTATCGAAGGCCAAGACTCTCTTTTATGTGATGTAGGCACTTGCAGTTATGTGTGCATAATCCCTTACACAGACTCACACGTATACAACATTTAGATTTATTTTATTTTTAATTATGTTTGTATATTTGGGGTATATGCATGCGAGTTCAGGTGCCCATGGAGGTCAGAGGAGACTATTGGATTCCCTGGAATTGGATTTACAGGCAATTGTGAGCCAGTTGGTGTGGTTGCTGGGAAGCAACCTAGGATCCTTTCCAAGACCAGTACATATTCTTCTGAGCAGCCTCTCCAACCTAAAACAAATAGTTAAAAGATTGGTCAGACCTGTAATCATGCTGAAAGTAAAATACTGCTTGATCATAGTAGGAAATTTAAAGTTCACTTATCATTAATAAACTGATATACATTGCAGTCTTCTAGGAAATCCACTGAGGGGCTGGCTCAGCAGTTAAGAGTACTTACTCGGTATTGTAGAGGACCCAAGTGGCTTAAGTGTCTGTGGATTCTGACTCTCTTCTGGTCTCTGTGAGGTACTGCATGCATGTGTACGTATAGTCATGCAGCATTTCCATGCACTTAAGACATAGGGCCAGAGGCCTCTGAGCTGGAACTTAACTGAATGCTTCTTGCCTGTGCAGCAGAAGATGCCAGGCAAGTGGCCAAGGGGGTCAAACAGCCTGCAATACTACTCAGCTATGATGCCTGCGAACCTCAACAACCACACTCGAAATATTTGTCCTTATACCCACAGATAACTGTTGTTCTCACTACTCATCAGAGGAACTTCTTTTTACAACTGGCAGACACCATTGTAGAAACCACAGCCAATCAACACAAAGAGCCCAGTCTCAGTAGATGCTTCTACAAAACTATGTGTACACCTAAAGCCCAGGGAACATTGCAGAAGAAACCGTGGGAATATTGTAGGAGTCAGAGGATCAAGGAGTTTGCTGTGAGACTGTGTCTTGTAGTAATGTCAGAAGCTATGCCTATAAAGCCTTACCAACATGAATATCTAAACATGGGCTACACAAAGACAATGACAGGCATGCCAAAATGGGGGGGAGGGGAGACCATGAGGCTTTAGCTCTACACAAGAACTATAGACAAATTAAGGACTGCTGAAAGTAGGGGAAATAGTCTTCCCCAGGGAAGAGCACAACTAATTGGTTATCCAATACCAAATGGTCGGCCCTGAAAACACACATACAAGCAACATAATGACCAATCAGGTTATATTTAGTTATATAAGTGAAGGCATTGATATACATATAAGAATGTAAAACAATTAATGAAAAAAGAGGTAATAAATTTGAGAAAGAGGGTTGTATGGATGGTTAGACAGAGGAAAAGAAAGGAAAGGAGGAAATAATGTAATTATAAAAATTGAAAAATAAAAGAAATAATATTTTTTTTTTAAAGTAAACCTTTAGGGGCTGGAGAGATGGCTCAGAGGGTAAGAGCACTGGCTGTTCTTCCAGAGGTCCCAAGTTCAATTCCCAGCAACCACATGGTGGCTCACAACCTTCTGTAATGAGACTTGGTGCCTTCCTTGCTTAATAAATTATTGTATGTTTAATAAATAAAGAAATATTTTTTAAAAAGTAAACCTTTAAAAAAATCCACATATTTGCCATACTTCAACTGATGTCTAAATTATCTTTGCAACTGTATAAATATTTAATTTTAGTTCTACTAGGAGTTTCTTTTATAGTCAAAACAAGATATTATGTACATCCTGTCTGATTTTTATGGATATTTTCTCAATATAATAATTATAGATCTTGATTTATAGTGAAACTAAGTAGCCTTCAAAAATTATTTATGAATGTTTTTGTTATTTAACCAAGTTCTCTGAAGTGTACAGTTATAGAGTATATATGGTAGATAGACTTTGTGGTTGAACATTTTCTTAAGTTTAAAAAGTTAATGTAAATAGACATTATATGAATAGTAAAGAATGTTCTTGACATTTTTTGTTGTTCTCCTTTGACAGAAAAATATAAAACGTTTTTTTTCTGTTACTCAAACCTTTTAAAGGTAATACTAATTTGAAAAAATTGTTTTCTGTTGGTATTTTCTTCTTTAAAAATAATGTCATTATGAACTTTAGTAAGATAAATGAAAATTTCCAAGGTTTTATAAAGCATTTTCAAGTAAACATAAATTAGAGCAGACAAGGGTTTAGTAGCTATTTAGAACTTTTCTTCTTCTTTTTTCTTTTAGGGAATCTGGAAACATCAAAGCTGGATTAGAACATCTGGTAAGCCCTAAATTCCTCTTGAACATTTGCATCGTCTTTGATATCTGCATCCTAAATGAACACTTTTGCATGAGTTTTGAATGCCTTGTAGTGAAAGTCAACCAGTTCCCAAAGGCTCAGCCTACTGGTCTATGTGAAGGCACTTACCTTTTCATTTATCTTACCATTTCGAGGGAATTAAATTTTTTTAAATTAGTTTTTTTTGATGTAAAGATGAAATAAAATGAATGACAGTCCTTGGATTGATGATTGCTTTAATTAGAAGCAAAAATAGGTGTAGAATTTTTGGCATATCTTGATCTGACACAAACAAGCACATGTTTTAAGAAAAACACAATCAAACATTGCTTGTATAAATGTGTATGTTCCAGCAATTTAACAGCTTTGAAAGAAATGCACAGCTTTGTTTTTCCTAATGTCTTTCTTTATGAATAATGCATTGGCTTAAACTATATTTGGTTTTAGTGTATAAAATAATTGCGATGCACAATTTTGTTTTGAGCAAGCATTTTTAAAGAACAAATGAAATTTAAACTGATTTAGCATTAAAATCTGTCCACTGAATTAAAAAGTTGGAAGGGTCCTTTATAGCAGTTCACTGGGTTGACTGGATAAAGTGTTCACTATAGCATTAAGTAGTTCGTTTAAACAGAGCCTTATAGACTCATGCTCTGGTTTCTGGTCAGATCCAAATGTTGAATAATTAATGGTAGTGATCTTTTGTAAATACAGTCTGAGTACTTTTAAACTTGAGAAGCTTCATTCATATATCATACTCTAGTTTTGTTAACTATTAGTGTACTTTTGTTCTGCTTCCACAAAAGGAAAACAGTGGCAAGAGGCAGCTTCATGTCTACACTCACTTTTGCTCATTGCCAATTTTGTGGGTGTGTATAATGCATTTTGGTTACTCCCCCCTCACCTGGCAGCTTCATTTTTACTTACAGAAATTTCAGAGTTAGAAAATTTTCTTTAACAACTGAAGGAACTCAAAAAACCCTAGATCTTTCAAAACATTCCTTAAAAAAAAACCTAATTCTTGAAAAACTATGTACATAATTAGAAAAGGTTAGCAGTGTTGGAAATAAGTAAATAACATTATGATTGTCATCTTTGAAAAGTATCCCCAAGCTTCTCTTTATCACTTAATAATTACATAAGTAATTTAGGATATAACATCAGAATAAAATGTTAATTGAAACATCATCCTCCTATATCAATTGGTAGTTTATATCGAAGGATATTTGATACTCTACTATCAAATGAACTTTGGTAATTCCCTTTTAATTTGTTATTTAGTTGAATGTTTTAGGCCTGTGGATCACTCAGTAGATACCACAGGTCCTGTCACCCAAGCCAGACCCCACAGACCCATTTAATGGAAGGAGAGAGCAGACTCCCACATGTTGAAAGAAGTTTCTGTCCCACCTGGTTCCACAGTCGTTCATTCACAAAGAAATACAGAGAGCTCTCTATTAGTTATAAACTGGCTGGCCTAGTACCACAGGCTTTCTTATTAACTCTTACATCTTATATTAACCCATAATTCTTGTCTGTGTTAACCACATGGATTGGTACCTTTTATCAATGAAGTATTCTTATCTTGCTTTCTCTGTGACTGGGTGACAACTGCAGACTGATTCTTTCCCTCTTCCCCAAATTTTCCTGTTCTGGTTGCCCCACCTCTACTTTCTGTGTGGCTACTAACAGCATTTTATTAAACCAATACAAGTGACAAATCTTTAAAGGTACAAGACCATTGTCTCACAGCACCTAAATGTTTCTTTTTGTTAAAAATAAATCATTATAATAAATAAATCTCTGTATTTAATCTTTTATGTCCCTCAGAAAATAATAAATTGAATTTTTAAAGTTTAAACTGTTTTTCCTATTCTTACTGGCAGGGTCTGTGTTTTAGTGTGTGTGCTGAGGCAAACATGTGGAGGTCAGAGGACAGCTTGTCTAGAATTGTGTCTCCTTTCCACTTGCATGTGCTTTTGGGCATTCCCTCAGGTGGTCAGACTGTGCAGCAAGCTCTTTTACTCACGGGCCTGTGTTTATGACTTCTTTATCCTTAGGAATTATCAATTCATATTGCAAAAGTTGATAGATTGGAGTTTGATAGATATAAAATTCATATTTGATATATAAATATTTGTCAAGGTATTTTTTGAGAGGGATGTTTATGTAGTTTTGAATTCAGGGTCTTTCTGTATCTTTTTCCTGAATGACAAGAACTACCAACAAGAATGGGAAGATGTGCAGGTGCACATGCACACATGAACACATACACAAATACACATGCACACCCACACAGTTTTTTTTTTAAAAAAAAAAGCATAGTCATACAATACCTTCAATTCAAATCCAAGCCCCAGAGTCCTTCATTATCATGTCCCATATTGAACTTGTTTTTCTGTGTCAAAATTGAGCTCTACATTTTTCTCTGCTCCCCTTCCTTCCTCTTTTCTCCCCTTCCTTCCTCTCTTCCCCCCTTCAGCTTGCTCCAATGGTTCCCATGCTCCCAATTTACTCAGGAAATCTTTTCTTTTTCTACTTCCCATGTAGATTATATCTATATATGTCTCTCTTGGAGTCCTCATTGTTGTCTGGGTTTTCTGGGATTGTGATTTATAGGCTGGATTTCTTTGTTTATGTTTAAGAAACACTTATGAGTGAGTACATTTGATAATTGTCTTTCTGGGTCTGGGTTACCTTATTCAATATGATGTTTTCTATCTCCGTCCATTTGCCTGCAGATTTCAAGGTCTCATTTTTGTTTTCCACTGTGTAGTACTCCATTGTGTCAATGTGCCACATTTTCCTTATCCATTCTTCAGTCAAGGGGCATTTAGGTTGTTTCCAGGTTCTGGCTATGACAAACAATGCTGCTATGAACATAGTTGAGCACATGTCCTTGTGGTACGATTGAGCATCCTTTGGATATATACCCAAAAGTCATATTACTGGGTCTTGACAAAGATTGTTTCCTAATTTTCTGAGAAATCTCCATACTGATATTCAAAAGGGCTGAATGTTCAACATCCTTAGCCTTCAGAGAAATGCAAATCAAAACAACTCTGAGATTCCATCTTACACCTGTAAGAATGTCCAAGATCAAAAACACTGATGACAACTTATGCTAAAGAGGTTGTGGGGTAAAGAGAACCCTGATTCTTAACATCACTGTGTCTACTCATGTTCTGAATTATATGCATATACAGTAGTTTCAGAATTATTGAAAAACAAAACTGCTAAAGATAATTTGGTATTTGTGTTCAGTTTTCTGTCATTGAGTATAGTGATATTATTCATTTGGACTATAGTTGGACTCATTTGTGTTTTTTGCATCTGGCTTAAATGCTTTTGTCTGTTCTTGTTGGTTTTATCATAAATTTGAATATGTATGATAGGAACTTACTTGCAGAGGTCAGAATCATATAGTAGTATTCTCAGAGATGTGTCATTCCCTTCCTCTCTAGTCCCTTCTCTACCCATTCTTAGTCAGTTTTATCGACTTCTAGTTTATCCTTCCAGTATATATTAAAACAAAGCATGTTTGCATATAAATGGATACCCGTTTTGTTTCTTTCTTTTTCCCTCCCTCCATCCCTCTTTCCAGATGCTCTCCTTCTCCCCCTCTGTCTCAGGACAATTTGCTGAATAGTAGAGCCCTTCAAACATTAAGGAAGACTGAGAGGTAAGGTTCAGAAAAACACCAACAGCCTTCCCTCAGATCATTCACAGAAATGAGCAAACCCAAACTATAGAAGACTCAGATTCTTATGTAATTGCTACAAATAAATGTACATCAAGCAATCATTTCATCGTAACCTCCTCTTAATCATAAGAAAAGAGAATTTATGTAGCATAGTAAAGATATGCAAAACTTAATGAAACACAATTCTTTTAAATTTCTCAAACTTACTTTTAAAGAATTCAAAAGCATTTGAAATGATTAAACGACCTAAAATAAATAAACCTCTTTTATTGCAAATTGTTTCTAGTATCAACATAATCCCCATTTGTAATACATAAAAATAGCATCTTTTTGAACAAGAATTTTTGTTTGTTAAAACTAGACATTCTAAAAGGCTGGGTTTATTTTAAATAAATCTTCAAGTACCAATATTTAGTTACAATGAATACTACTTTGGGTTACATTTTTCAAAACTCTTAGCTGCTAAATGTTGAAATTATAATACATTCAAAAATAAAATACCCACATAAGCCTAACTTTCATAAGAAGCTTTCTTAAATCAAAAATTGGAAAAGCATTAAGCAAGAAATGGTAGTATGTCATCTTACTCAAACCTTTGATTGGATATCGTCTCAGAGAGCCCAGATTCTCCCCCTGCTGTTCCCCTTTGTTAAGATACATCAGGGGTGGAGATGCAGCTTACTGGAAGATCCCTTGCCTAGCATTTTCATGTCTGTCAGCTCCTCCCCTATTCTTTTTTATTGGCTTTATTTTTTTTCTCATACGATGTATTTGATCAAATTTGTTCTACTCTCCCAATTCCTCCCAGATCTTCTCAACCTTCCTATCCACCAAACTTCGTTCTTTCTTTCTCGCTCTCAAAAAAATAGTCAAAACAACAAAGAAAGATAACAGAAAGTAAAATAGCAAACAAAACTAAAAGTATGCATAAAAAAAAGTATAGAGTTGTATTGATCCACTGCTCCTTAGTGTGGGGCCTCCCCCACAGTGTGCAGACATACCCAGTGCCACTGAGCTGAAGAAAACTGATCTCCCTCTCTCAGAAGGTGCTCATTTCAAATAGCCTCTTGTTACAGCTGGATCCTCAGTTCACTTGAGCAATCTGAAAGAATTTCAGTTAGAGGAAAAGTAATCTTGCAGTAGACTTTAGCTGAGAAGGAAGAAAATCTAGGTACACTGCTGGAAAGTCATATGGGAAAGTCAAAGGTTAAGATTGCAAAGACTCCTTCTTCCTCCAGGAATGCTGCATCGTTCATAGAATATTAGAACTAGTTCATAG